ATTATACATAACATTGTTACTGAATCTGTTTGATTTGAAAGAGACAGATGGTTCACTTGACTTTACCTGTGCATTTTTTTTATTTGTTTCATTTTCAGAATGTAAGACAAGGCCATTCTCGGGCAGTGCTTCTTCATCCAAGCCTAGTTCCTCATCCTCACTAAGCAGCAAAGAAAATGGAGACACAAATGGCCACAGTCCATCTCCCTTCCACCTCTCAGGTGAGTGCATGTGTGGACCAGCAAATATTACAAGCCTTGTCACACAATATTCTATTTATCACCGTCCAGAGTTGTTTCTCATGTGAAAGCATGTCATTTTAAAGCTCTGGAGCACATAAGAGGAGAGGGGTAAGAGAACACATGCTGCATCTGTCCAGTGGAGGATGACCATCGTGCTCAGAGGTCATGTTCTGTCCTGGGGGGAGGGTCCATACGGGGGTAGGGAGGGAAACCTGCGGTTAAAGAGGGGTGGGGGGCTACTCAGCATTTGGTGACATCTGGCTGGAGGCCACACAGTGTTTACCCAACAGTGTTTGGTGAAAGAAAGCAAGTCATTGTCTCTTTCTTCCTCACAACACCATTCAGAGAGCCAGGCAGCTGGCAGCAGAGTGCGTCCATTAGTGGTCTTTTACAATGCACAAAATAGGTTTAGGAGAAGGGCTCATTATTGCAAAACAAATGTAACACATTTTGTGTTTTCCATATCTTCTTCATTTCCCATGAAGAGTAAACCTGCATTGATGAGAAGTTATTGTTTGATCCACAGACTCGCCTCCCGCCCGCATGCAATCTGGCTCATCCTCAGGGATTTTTGGACCCCCGGAGCTGGGCTTCCTCAAACCGTTGAACACACCGACCCACGGGACCAAGACTTTACCGATCGGTACAGGATATTTGTCTCATTTTGAATTTCAAGTAGCATTGATTGCTCATCATACCAAGATAAAAAGCCATAGGAAATTTTGTATTAAAGTACAATTTGCTTTCGCGTTGAAACGTTCAGTGCAAGCAGTTGTTAAAATGATTTTGAACAATTCCGTGTGCTTGTTAATTAGTGGTGCTTGCTAAAGAAAACATCACTATATTCTATATATAATATTCAATATACACTATTTCTCATGTTTTGGATTAGAAATGTAAACAAACCACACTGTACATTCAGCCTTAACATTAATCAGCCAACCAGTTATTGTATTTAAAGACCATTTTTAATTATCTTTGTTATATTCAAGATAAAAACATGGCAATTGTTTTAACATTAAATAAGTTCAAATGTTAAAGTTGAAAGTTTATCAAATTAATTTAAATGTCTATTTAATTGTCAGTTTGGATGTTTTTGCATTTTTTGAATTAATGAATTGATAATGTTTCTTCCATAAAAGTTGTTTAAATAGAATATAAAATGCATAGAGTTAGTTAAATATAGTTTTCAAATTTAATTATCATTGTTTCATTAAACAAAAACACGTTAAACACAATTAAAATTTAGTTGCATTTGTATTCTATTTTTAAATGAATAAATTACGAATTAATCATTTCTTCCGTTAAAAGTTAAGATAAATTATTTACACATAATATACATCTTTGAATATAATTTTCAAATTGAATTATCATTGTTTAAAAAAAATTAATTTGTTAAATATTTTTGCTACTTTTTCAAATATTAAACAAGGTAAAATATTAAAATGTATTTGCATTTGTATTGTGTTTTTTAAATAATAAATTGTTAACAACCAATTATGGTCAACTTTGTGTTCCAAATGTTGTCCGCTGCTTCATTGTTTGTTTTTCTCCACAGAAGGATAGAATGAATCTCTTCTCTGAAGGTCATTTGTATTGGCTGCTTACACAACCTCTTTTGCAAACACACACACATTAACTCGCTCCAAATCATCAATATAAGACCAGAAATTCTCTATTAAGGGTTTTAATGTCAGCCCACGCTTCAAGCTCCCTGCAATTGACGTTTAACATATATGTGCTCTATGTGTCAGGAATATTAGATGTCAAAGTGGCCCAGCAGTTCATTATCAATATGCCATCAGTTAAAGGAAATCAATAAACTGTGCTGCACAGGACCCATTCTCCTTCAGAAATGAGCGAGAATGCTTTCCTCCCTATTGAATTTGTGCGTAGGTTGGGGTGTTTGCATAGTTTGTCACTAGAAAAGTGGACATTAGCCATTAATGTGTCAAACATGACACCCCTCTGGGCACTTGGGAAATTCTTAATGAATTGTAATACATTTTCAAATACATTTTAGCCTGAAAAGGTGGTTTACGAATGGTGCATACAAATATAAATTTTTTTAAATCTGCATATTTAAGTGATTTCTACAGGATCATGTGATACTGAAGACTGGAGTGATGATGCTGAAAATTC